GTTTTTTTTAAAAAACTTCCGGGGTCTGGACCCTCCCTTTCACAGGCCCCCTCTACTCGTTTAAAGCTTTCCTTTCAATCTGTGCCTTCTGGGTACGCGGATGTTTATTTTCGAATTTCTTTTTGGGCCTTGCCCTTCGAGTTTCGATGAGTTAGCTTGATAGCTCTTTCCCCCATAAGAGCGATTTCCATTTCTGGTTTCCTCATTTGAAGATTCCTTCGGGTACTTTGAGAATACGTTGCCCCTCTAGTTTTTTGCTATTCTGCGATTTTGAAACTTCACCGCCAATTCGAAGAGCTCCTGCAATGTGCTTGGGTTTCTAATTTTCAAAGTAGTCTTGAACAGCGGGTAACAATCTTGGTAAGATTATTTCAATAATCTCCGCATCGTCGGTTTTCTTCCCATACAGCATATCCGTCAGCTTAATTTTTCGTAGAATAAAGTCCGTCAATTCTGCTATATCCCGTTGATAGAAACTATATAGTTCGGCTTCCAGCCTTGCGCGATCTTTCACTATGGGAAGGCCTTTACTAACGATTTTTTTTGAAATTTTCAAATGTATATGTCTGGCTTTCCAAATTCCCCTAATAAAAATTTGCCTATATTTTCCACCATAGCGCGGCCTGTCCTCTTAGTGCGGATGTGGCGATGGCAACTTTTTGTCTTTCCGGCACAGGGTAGAGCTGAAAGTGATTTTCTAGGCCTTCTAGAAATATCGCCACCGAATTTTTTCCGTCGAAATTGACGTTGGGCATGATTGACACTCTCAAAGTCTGGACCAGGTATCCAAATCCTTCCAATTGGCTTGTCATTTCTTGGTGTTGTCCAGCGGTTTCCATCCAATTTTCGGCCATTTTAGTTCGATAAGTGTTCGGGCGCCAATGTAGCGTTGCGCGCCTCCAACTTGCACGCAACCAAGAGGTGACTGTGAAAACTGGATAAAGACAGAGTCTTGTTAAGGGTTTAAGTCCCTTTTTATTCAACGTAATAAATTACAAGTGCGTGCTCTTGACGCTCACAAACTGCGCCAATTCGGCGGTCGAATAAAAATAATAACCTGAAAAGAAACTAAAGACAAAGACTCTAACTACGAGGCTCTCTAAAAGTAACTAACTCACCGCGTTTTACAATACCGCTGCTAATTCAGCAAACTTGAAGATCACTTGAACGATTAACACTACTTCCAGGCAAGCACACAGGCCAAAACGCGGGGTTCTTCAATTTCTGGCCAACTACCTCCACGCTCGTGAAGTAAGAATATCACAACTCGAACTCGTTTCCTTTCTACTTAAATCAGAATACTTCCGCTGATAATTTGAATCCTTGCGCGTTCTACTAAAATTTACATACTCTGGCATTGGCAGTTCCAGGGGAAAGTAAGGCTTGACAGGAAAGATAGTTTAAACTTAAAATAAATGTTAGTTAAAATAAATATAAACCCTACAAGGTAAAGAAAATGGAAATATTTAATTAATTAATTCCTGCGCTTCTGCTGGAGAGGACTGAATTTAAAAGCAATTATTATAGTAATTTTTTGTTAAAAAATGTTTAGGACATTAATACTGTCTAATGTTAATTGGTAATGAAAGTTTAGAGCCGTAAACATCCCAAAGTCTGAGCACATGTATATACATTCACATAAAAGTGAAAAGAAAATATATTGTTGGGTTTTTCTTTCTTCTGACAGCAGTTGTTACGTTATTTTTTTTCTTCACGTTCGTACGGGGTTCGTAGATTTGGAGTGAATAACGACGATACTGGATGAAGTATCGAAACACACTTTATTTATCAATATTAATCAGAACAGCTCCAAAACACTTTTACAGTCTTCGAAGATCTACTATAAACACGCTGGAACAATCAGCGACACAGCCTTCACACGGTCAGGCAATAACGGTGGAGACAGCTTCCTGCAAAGCACCCGACTCTGCTTTCCGCAGTACAGCTCCCGACTCTGCTTGGTCGTTCTCGGAACTCCACGTACTCTCGAGACTCTCCACGCTACAACTCGCGATGCACTCGACGACATACGAGCACAGCTCCCGACTTTTCGGTTCAGTCGTTCCCGGAGCTCATCACGCTCTCTCGACGATGCACCAACTGCGCTACACTAACAGACTCCTTCTGTGTACTCGAAGACGACCCACTCGGCCCTCGCTGCTCAGCTGTCAACTCCATCGACTCCGCAGGGATTGACTCGCTAGACGAGACGCACTCTCAATACTACTACTCTCCGCGTACCAGCAGTGCCCATATTCCAAAAAATTATTTATTCTATTATTCACTTCTGCATTTTTATAATTTTTTAGGATTAATAATCTATCCTATTATTCACTTATGCATTTTTATAAATTTTTTAGGATTAATGATCTATCCTATTATTCATTTATGCATTTTTATAAATTTTTTAGAATTAATAAATTTTTGGAATTATATATTTATTCATGGAATTTTATACTTGCACTTGATTTACATACTCTCATAATTTGAATGATATTGTAGATTAGTTCGCAGCAATATTTAATCATTTATTTGTTTGCATTAAATTTCATTTAAATTTAATTAACTTTAAATTTGCTTTTTACGAATAGAGAATGTTTGTTAAATTCAAATATATATGTACAGGGTATGCTTTAAATTAGTATTATATAATTTTCAAACTTTTTTGCGGGCAAAATTTAAATAAATAAGAGCATAAATAAAACAATATATTTAATGCATATAATAATAGAAATAAATTATAAAACACGAATATAGATCAAATTGGAATAAAAAGGTAAGAAAGTTGCAGACAGGGTGCAAAAAGCGTATGGGATTCGAACTCACGACTCCAAAAAGTGAACATTGTTACCATCAGCTTTACCACTAAGCTAGGATTACACGTGAGTCGCATGCATATTTTGGCTTATATACATCATCAAGTAAATCAATTCTTAAAACTAAATTTTTTGGTCCTATTTCAGTGTGCTATCGTCTGAAAAATTCACCAGAGTTTGTTCTTCAGCTTCTAGTACATTTTTTACAAAAAACATTATCTTTTAAAGTGGCGTTCCGATTGAAGTTAAACGGGCTGCTAAAAATATATTTCATGTGCTTACAAATATATGTTAGCCAAAAAGATATATTTATAAAGGGAAAAAAAATACAAATTTAACATACTCTTTAATGCAGTGGAATATTTAAAAGGCTATCAAATTTAATTTATAATTAACGTTTTTAGTTTTTACCTGTTTCAAAAGAAAAAATAACAAATCTTTTAATCATATCTAATTTGCTATAGCAGTTTGATATAGTCAGACATTCATTTTCATTAAAGGTAAATGAGTATGCAGAACTAGGAAAATAGTTGTCAGGACAAATTTTGCTATTTTATGGACTTTATATAATTATGCTATTTTATGGACTTTATATTATTATTTTATGGATTTTATATAATTTTTGCCGCTGATTTTCTTGAACTGAATTTCTTGAACGCCTGATTTTATCTGCGAACAAGTACTGTAGTTTGCAGTTATCTTATTTTTCTTATCTTTTTTTTAACTAAATTCAGCTGATTGCTGTCTTTTTCAGCACGCAGATTTCTCGCTATAATGTTAATTCAGAAATAAGTATTTTTTAGCAAAACATTCTTTCCCTAAGCGAGCGTTCATCGCTACTTCTGCCGCCATTAATTTTTGGTGACTACACCTGATTGCTCCTTTTTTACCACGTGACCTCAACGCATCCGCAGACATACGGATAGAAGTTGAACATTATTGAACTCCATCCGTACGTCATCCGTCACCGCACATCAACCTTATTGCAGATGTCAATCAAAGTGAATTCGCTTGCTGATTGGAGAAACGCATACACAGCAGTGGAAATGGGCCTTAATGGATTGAATGCACACAGAACCGATGATAGCTTGATAAAAATTTATTCTTCTCAACAGAAACACTTTATATCTCTGGAATTTCCACAAAAATACTCGTACAGCTCTTCTCAGTATAACAGCACACAATTAGTAGTTATGACTTCAAACTACTAATGACGTTAAACGATATACAGTGCAAAGCGCATCCACATCCAAACAGCAAGGCTCGCATGATCTCTCAACATTCCGAAGTTCGCTCTGAACTAAAAAAAAAACTGAGAACTGATACTTTCTCTGGGGTTACATAGTTTTCTCCAGGACGCCGAGAAATCTCGAATATCTTTCATTTCTCGAAATTACAGAAAGGCATACACTGCTAAAGTTATATGTAAGAGTTGAATACGGTTACAGTTACATATAGGGATCAATTACAGCTATTCAATCACAATTCTGCAAAAACCGGACCAAAATGTCGCCAAAAGGACGGCAAGTTTGGAGATTCTAGCCAAATTCGGCGACAAAAATTAGTAGCAGAACGCCAGCTTGGGGATATCTCACCAATTTATCGAGATAGCCATTTATCTCAATGTTAAATTGTCTTGCTCCTGTAATTTTGTTTTTCCCGCAGAGCATTGCCTTCTTCTGACTCTTCATGTTACATTATACAAAATATGCTGCAATTTCACATATAATTTCCCTAAAATTATTTACATTTATCCAAATTTCATAACAATATTACAGATTATAAAATATCTTCCTTATTCTAATTTCTCGTCTAAGATCTATTCTTTAAAAAAATTTAATAGGTCTGCTGCTTACCTGCTAAACTGCAGCTGAAATAAGGCGAGTCCTCAGAACTTAAATCACCAAATTAATACCGTGTAAATAAGTAATAAACAAACATTTATTTGTAAACTAGTAACTATTACACAAAGCTTAAAATTATTACAGCTACTCTAACTTTCATGTCTCAGTTTCTGCATGTTACGGTTTTAATAGCAACCGATATCTCTGATACTACTGACAACTATTGAGTACAGATAAACAGCTACTGAGTGAGGATATTCAATGAGAAAATGCCTTTATATTAGATTAGACAAATCTATAAGTTGACGAACTGTTTAGTGCACTAATGAAGATTGCTTACCTGAATCATCGTTTCCCAGAGTCCTTTTCCGAGGCCTAAATTTCGCATTGTATGCATGGTAAATCGCCGTTGTTCTTGCCATTCCTTGCCATTCATGCCAGAAAATCCTGAAAGGTAATACGAAATATAAAAATATAAAAGTTTAAAGTAATGAATAGACTATTTCTCTGTAAAAACTTTTTCTTATTTAATATAATAAATGTGTCTATAATTTATTAATAATGTATTAAGATAAATTTTACATAGCATTTTGGGACTGCGCATTTTGCCAATCGTGATCGTGATCATTCCTGTCAATATTGGTATCTTAACAGATTTTTTTTTCCCTTAAGGCCACTCACGGTAGTTCATTTACGGTGAAATCACACCGCTCACCCGAAGACGAAAAAAAGAGATGGCAAAGCAAAAACTGCCCTTAATAAGTGCACACATGATTAGGCAACATTTAGCGGTCTTAACGTAACTCAGTAGTAGATAAGTAAGTAGATTTACATAAAGATTCTTTAATACGATTCTTCTTCAGTTCAATTTGCGACTGATGCTTTGGTGTCTTATTCTGGCGTATAGCAGGGAATTACCCTGCTCTTATTAAATCAATCACGATAGTTATATAATTTGTACTACACTATTATAATTTCTTGAGTACTGAGAGAAAACTTTTGCTGTTGCACTTGTGATTAACTGACGAATAAAAATGTTCTATATCACGTGGGGCTGTGTTGAACTTGTGGTGTCCTTCCATAGATTGCATAGTGAAATTAAATATGTATGAAACAGTTTAAATAAACTACAATCATATAGCACAGATTTTATAAAACGCCTAGTTTTTAAAATCCAAAATTTCTCTTTTACTAGTACTAACGTTTCACTTACGCCACTATGAAATACCTTTTAATGACAGTTTAAAATAATTAAAGGAGAAAAATAATTATTTGGTAATATTATAGGCTGAATTTCATCTACATCTAATAACGATTTTGCTATCCTACTCCCAACTCTTAAACAACGCCTTTGGTCAATTATTGAATTTAACCCGAACATTTCCGCCTAGACGGTATAGTGGTTAGGGAAGGTAAACCGCTGAGTTGGCTTCCGACCCAGGTATAGATATATCCATGCAAAATTGGTTACCAACTCGGCGGGAGTCAACCACTAGCTACCAGGCCGCAGGTCTGGGCAGCCCCGGCTGAGCAGACGACATTTATAAAATGCAAAAAAGAGATATACATGTGCATACAAGGCACTTGAAGAAGAGTGCAACAATGTGCAAAGAAATATATACATGTGTATACAAGGCACTTGAAGAAGAGTACAATCAAAATATATGTATATACATACAAATACAAACTCATATACAGATATATACACACTTACATACATAGATATTCCTAAACAAATAAAAGTATACATACTCTCACTCCTATTGATATATACACTCATACATATACGTTATCATGATAGTTAAAGTTTATAAGAAGCATGCTATTGAGGTACGCGTGATCCTTAGTATAAATTAGGTACCATAAATAAAAGATATAAACATGTACAGATACATTACAGCATTCAGATACAGTACGAACTTTATGTATGAGAACCTGGCACAGCGTAAATATAAAATTACATATTGAACATACATATCACATACTCTGTTGCTGACATATTGAACTAGCTTATATAGACTTTTATGACTACTATCTTCCAGTGTCAGAAGAGTAATTGCTAGTACAGTAGTCAATTACTGTTTTCAATCTCCGCTGGGCAACTCTGTTACTTTGTAGATTCAGGAACCAAATTTGGCAAGAATCTGGCTCCTGGTTGCTTGAGGCTGTTAAGTGCTGTGTGTGGGCAGGAGAACACAAAATGATCTGGATGACCTTCCTCCCCACATTCACAGTTACCATTCTCTCTCAAGCCAAAGCGGCAGAGGTATGAAGAAAAGGGCCCATGACCAGTGAGGAAATACGTCATGTAATTGCTATTAGTTTGGATTGTTGTCTTGACCTTGGGAATGAGATTGTAAACACGTCTCCCACTGGAGGCTTGATCCCAACGTTCTTGCCATATTCTTAGGAGCTAATCGAATGTCCGACTCTTTAGGTCCGAGACTGGCCTAAGGGTCATGACTTCTCGCAAAGTGGATGAATCCGCTGCTTCCTTGCGACAACATCTGCTCTCTCATTTCCTTCTATTCCCGTATGAGCGGGCACCCAGATGAGTGAGAGTGGTTAGGGAAGCCTACTACGATTTCGAAGGGCGCGAGTTTGAATCCTAGAGAAGACATGGATGTTTGTAAATGTAGAATGTCGGTGCGGCATGGCAGCACTCTAAATATGCGGCGAGCTGAAAGACCCCTCGTGTAGATTGGTGGAAGAGGAGAGGGGTGGGAGACTTTCAGATCATCTCCCCAGGGTACTCTTTCTCAAAATTGGGTGGAAAATAGAAGTCTAGCCTCTCTTTGGAGTAGGCTCTGGGAACCATTGTTCCATGCAATATGGACAAGGAAACAACAACCCAAACAATTTGAAATTTTGCCACAATGGGTTTTACATTTAAATTCATTCAATTCTACAAAACAAATGCTCTCTTTTGTGATAACTTAATCCAGTAACAAGCATTATATATTTTATTTTTGGTCACAGAATCAATCTCTCTGTTTTGGAACTTTAAATTGTTTATGAATATAAAATTTATATGGCGTTACTCTTAAAAGTCACCAAAGTTCTCAATCTTCACAGGTTGTAAAGACTGAAAACTGCTGGTAACTTGAATCACAACTCGTTCTTCAACATTATCCACTATGTTCGTTCATCTTGTGCCAACTTATTTCATTTTGATGTAGCCATGGAAATCCTTGCCACCCCAGTCGATCGACTACAAGTTCACTCAACATCTAACGTGATTTTGTCGGCAGGATTGTCTGATCGAGGACACTGATACCACATACTTGGTGATATTTTACCTTGAATTTCCGACATGTGCTTTTATAAGGATGTTTTCCATTGCTGCGGTGAGTTCTTTATCCAGTGAAGCACAGTGAGAGACTCGGTCTATAAATAAATCTTTACGCGAGGAAAATGTAGAAATGTAGTCATGCATTTTGCGCCTGATACTGCTGCCATGATTTCGAGTCTTGGTGAAGATAATTTTTTGAGAGGAGCCTGCCTCTCTACTCTTGTTGATTACTAAAGTTGCTCTGGAACGTTTAAAGCTACGGTATTTCCGTACACTGCTGCTTAATAAACATTTTGAGATTAATCACAAAAGCAATGTCATTCCAACATTTCAGGCGTTTCATCAACATCACGAAAATATCAACACGGTTTTCTATAGATCACATAAAGGCTTGCATCATTTGTTCCATTTGTCGTGCAATTCTGATGGGATAATTTAATCCAACCATTGTCTTTAAGCCATAAGTCCTGAAATAGAAGTTTTGCTTAAATCACATATGCACCACAAAACCCAAGAGGATCGAAGATCTTTGAAGCAGCTATCCAATATAACGCTTTGTTTGATCATGTGAGAGGATGAAATCTATAATGTCTTGAGTATGAAAGCGGAATATATCTTTATTATTATCCCCCTGAAGACCAGGATTCCTTGAGGGGGTAATCACAATCAGGTAGGTTAAAGCTGGTGAAGTTGTTACTTGATTTATACTGGTCCTTTAAATTATCAAAATTAGAATTCCATTAGGTCAGTGTTATTAATGACTTTTTCATTATATCATTATCTTCATGATATATCTGTACAGCATTTTCTTCGTATCTGATCCACAAATAAAGTCGTCACATGAAGTTCTGTAACATTTCTGCAATTTTGGGATAGACCTTTTCATATTCTTTAAATGATGCTTAATGCAAGCGCTTAGCAAAAATGGACTTGATTTTCCTTCAAAAATTACACATGCCCGATAAACTTGAATTCTAGGATTCGTCAAACTTGCATTCTCGTTAATCCATAAAAATCGCATAGCTTCTCAATTTTCAAAACAACAGAAACTTGCAAAAGTATCTTCTGAATGTCTGGCGTAATTGCAATTTGATGAAGTCGGAAATTTATTAACATTTTTAATGATTCCAGAAGAAGATTTGGTCCTTGAAGTATCCTTTGAAGAAGCATCAAAAACAATGCGAAATTTTGCTGAATTGTAATCTTCACGGATTACAGCACGGTGAAGAATAAAATGAGCCCGTTTCACAGATGGAATAACTGCATTGACAGTTTCTATTATTCCTTCCTTAAACTGACTATCTGTTATTCCTTTATACTGTGGGCAAAAGTTGAAGATTTATTTAAAGTGGCCGATCAATCTCAAAAATCGCCTTTCAGCGTTTTAAAATTGTCGCTTAAATTCAAATTTTCATCTTTTTATGGAAGTCTAACTTCATGTCGATCTCCTTTTTGAGTAATCGGATTTTCAAATACTTGTAAAATCATTTTATTTTGTTCATAAGATTTTTTATTCCTACATATTCATGTCTCAAAACGATTCGTCACTGTAAAAGCTTCTCTTCTACACTTACGTGTAAACACACATCATGTATTTCAACGTCTGAAAAAGAAATACCAGCAACCAAAGGAGGTTTTCATCGCTACGGCGTTAACTGCTTATCTTTTTTAATTCTCCACTCGCTACTTTTCATGTATTATTCGGGACGATTAACACTGAAATCTCATGACTCATTCTGTCCGAACCGCTGGGTTCTGTTAAAGTTATAACGAATGTTTAGAGTTTGGACTTCATTTTTACATTGGTATGACGAGTATTTGGAGTTTGGACTTCAAATCTACATTTAGTATCTGTAAGTCAGCTTTTGTTATGACTGGTACTTCGATTAATTCAAGAGTTATGTACTATTTTCTAGGAACATTAATATTTTGCAGAGGTAAGTTCAACTTTCTTTTTTATTCCAGAGTTTTCCTTTCTTTTCGACAAAAGTAAGCAGATTTAAAATGGTTTCTCCTTTCACTGGTAATTTTACTTTTCTTGATAAATCTTCTCGAATTACAGACGTGTGGCTACCGGCGTCAAAAAGGCACTTCACAATCAGCCACAGTATATATACTTTTGAAGCATAATATTAGATTTAGTTTTAGCAGAATG